ATATAAGTAATCGTAGTTGATAGTAATTTATTATCTGATCCCCCATTTATTGCAGTAAGAAGAGTATCAATAGATGTGAAGCTTAACAGCAAGAGAAGAAAACTTCTGAGCTTTCAAAGGACATCGGTGGTGTTATAATTAACAGCAGGGATGAATAAGATGGGGTGTTTATATATGTGGAGTCAAATGGATCAACTGTTGTTGATTTCTGTATCTGTTTATTTCAGCTACTTAGATATATAAGCTCCTTACATGTTCTTTGCAAATCATACTCTGATCACATGCCGCTGGTTATTAAATTTCGTTTCCCATCAAGTGTGGAAGAAACTACTGCAAGTAGATATAAAGAACATCTAGAAATAACAACTTGTTCTGATTATATACGTTCTAATATGCAGATTGATGCTAAATTAGTTGTAATTCTGGAAAAAGTTCACGATGCTTGGGTAAGCAGACCTTAAATATGCGTTTTGAACCCAAAAATTAATGGTTTGACAACCAGTGTCAAGAAATAAGAAATAAATGTTTCATTTCCTTAATTTAGTTCGAAAATAGAACCTGGAAACCCATCGTACTTTTTATTATGTACTTATACCTCGATATACAAACTTTTGCCGTAATAATAAAAACTTCAATGGCAATTAAAAAATATTAAAACGTTAAATACTGTTAAAGAAAAGCTTATGACTGGTAGAATCTAGCAAAAAATTTGAAAAAGTAGCTACCTCAAAGTAGCTACTTCTCTACAATGTGAAAGCTTTCGTATACACTATGAATCCCTATTTACATGCAGTTCCGACCGCCCAGCTATCTCTTGGTGTCTTCCACCTTTTGTCAATTCCTTGCTGACACTAATGCATATTTAAACTACTATATTTAAAAAGAATGCTTGTCAGTTGACCACTGTAAACTAAAATTCTACTGGGCAGCATCAAGTACCCACCTAAAAACCAGGCCAACTTGCCAGTGCTATTTGGTAGTACCAAGTGTCTTCATATTCATATTAGATATTCATATAAAATGAGCATAATAGATAAATACTCAAATCTATCTTTATGAAGTTTTATCGATATTTTACATATAATACATACATATACCAACTTCAGCCATCGTACTTTTTCTTGCAAACAACTACGAATGCTTTAAGAAATGGCATTTATTGCAGTAAATAATACTGCAATAAGATACTTGCTTAGGGATTAAAAAGTCTTTTTTCAGAAGATTGCATTGGGCTTTTGCAACATTTTTCGTATGCAGCAATAAACTCATATGCACTAAAATTTTTTAATTTTTATATTTCAATATATAGGAATAAATATTAATAGTACTTTTGAAACTCTTAAATTTTATTACCTTTTTTGATATTGAGAGGTTAATCTCAAAACAAAAAACACTAAAAACTACCAGCAATATAAATAAATACTTTAATGCAAAAATTTTAGTTTGTTCTTCCAAATTTTTTGCACTTATAAAAATACTTATAAAAAGATAATAAAATCTAAATGAACATTTACGTGTAAGTCACCTATGACCCACATATATTTACAACTAATGCATATGAAAGAACTATGAAAATATTAGAAAAATATATTTTACTAATAATTACACATATAAGAATAAACAAAATCTTTTAGATTTTATTTGAAAAAAAACCGCAAACAACAATGCCATTTTAAAGAACCAATAAAGCCTGTTGCAACTACTAAAGACACATTTTCTAGGTCAGTGCACATAAAGTAAAATGGAAAAATTACTAGAAAAAGAAAAACCCAGTGAAAATGCAGTGTATTTTTCTGAACACTTGGGGCTTTTGACATTTAGAATAGCAGCGCAATTATGTGCCATATGACATTGACACACTGCGCTCCAGAACATGGGAAAATATTTTAATAAGAAATTTATGCGCTCGAAAAAAAATGTCACTCATACGCAATGTAGCGTTTGATAAATTTCATGCGGGATTTATTTTTTTAGTGAATAAAAAATGAAAACAAAAATTCCTTAACAGATTATCTGTTCATAATAAATAAAAATTATTTTGTCATGACAACAGTCTAGTTATATCTTTATATATTTTATTATTTTGATTTTAAAATCTTTATTATTTTCATATTTGATTTATCTCACAAGTCTTGTCCCAAACAGTATACATTTATTTTATATAAATTCTACTTTCAAATAAATGTATTTAATTATTTAATGATTGTACCATAAAATGCCAACTCAAAAATTTACTTTCAATTAGAGTATATTTAAAATATTGTACTTCAAAAATAATATTTCTTTTTTAATTGACAAATTTTCAAAGTTAAAAGATGGAATATTGTTCCTTTTGGCTGTTGTATGCGATTGTAGACAATTAACCGATTAAAGTAATCTTTTAGAGTAAGTGCTACTTCAGCATTTAATTTCACTTCAGCTCTTAAGAACTTTGAAATGATCCAGTCGAGTTATTAACTATTTGAAAATACATTATTTTTAACTATGTATATTTAAATGTCTGCATATAATTGAAGCAAATCTAAAGTTTAAGTCAATTAACAGTTATATGAGAATAAGTATTTTAAACCTAAATTTCTAGAAAAAAAATATAGTTAGACCTAGAATACTAAAGTACATGCTACTCCTATTCGATGTAACTTGAAAAGAGAATAATTTGTTTTTAATTTATGTGACAGAGTTACAGTAAATTGACTTATTGATATATCAGTGTTTCGTCCTAACTAGTAGAAAGTTCTATTCTCTACATTCTGATACGAGTGCTAATTAATAATCTTATAGGTCTAATTATTTTCTGAACTTTAATATATTTAATAGAGACAATAACTATTAGGGCAATCACAAAACATATAGGCGACATATAGAGACTTTTTATTTTCTGAATCCAAAGGCTCAGAGTATTTAATTACTATTATATATTTCAAGTAGTAAAAAAGTATCATTAACATTATTTTCTCTGTATTACTTTCTATGCACAAGAAAGCACAATATAAAAACTTGAAATATATAATGTCGATATAAAAATACAGCATTGAAATTTAAAAATATTTATAGTTAATTAATTCAATTATTCTACAACTCGTTTATGTAACATAGCAAGTGAATTTTTTAAGAAACTTTCACAGCAAATTAATGAAACTCCAAGTTAAAATATGTAAATCAAGTACGACTTTGGGTCAGTTAACTAATGAACACTGACTCTGTGCTTCAAATTTGGCTGGACACGAATTCAACCCTTAGTATTTGCAGTCTCAAAAATTTACTTGCGAATAATTATATAAATATATAAATATAAGAAATAATTCCAAGGTCATGTGGCAATACTTGAAACAGCTGTATGGTCAGCCAAAAATTAAAGTAAAAAAAAATAATAATATTTTTTGTTGCAATTTACTACTATTCGAAAAACCTCTCTATTGAAAACAATATTTTATGTTAAAAAAATAGTTTCTTTCGTTATAATTGATGTTAAAATCAATTTAATACAAAATATATTATGCAAACTTAATGATCAAATTATTAAAAAATATTATATTATATTATTATTCCAATGAAAATTGTCTTCACTTCAAATACTTGTGCCCTACGACAATGCTTACTTTGACGTGAGTCAATAGAATGGGTCACGTTTCAGAAAGTTGACTCACGGTATCATACTTAGAAAGAAAGAAAGGCTTCTTCTTTGCCAACGTGGACAAGTTCTTCCATTATTTTAATAGAATAAACCATTGTTATATTTATAAAATATATTAATGTTAATACTTATCATTAATACGTTTTATTAGCTAATATTAATTTGTGGAGTTATTAATACCATAATAAAATGAAACGAATTTTATTTATTTATATGAAAAAAATTACTATTGGCATAGATTTTTATTTCATTCGTCATGAAAAAATCCCACACAATAAACTTCTGTTATTAAAACCATAAAAAAATGGACTATTTTACGAGTTAAGTACTATTATGCATTAATTCATTTATTCTATTAGTAAATATTATAAACACTGCAATTTGCGTATATAACCTGTTGAGTAAATAAACAGCAGGAAGCTCAGTAGCCGTTAATGGTAATTTTGTAATCAGTCATGTATTCATTTATACTCGTACTTACTGATAACAGCAGTGATAAAACCAGAAATTGTATCGCAAAATGGCGCTAATATCTCCAAATGGCTTTTGCGTCATCATGTCGATTTGGTTCCATAGAATTATGTTAAAACTTAAATATTTATTACTCCTCTAAAATTATATGCATAGAAATGATATAAAGTATTTTTAGCTAATCCAACAGTGAATAGAAATTTAAATTTAATTTTATTCAATTTATGCAAAAAAATATATTTTTGGTGCGGCTTTCTCAGATTTCTATGCAAATCACCATAATTTTTGTTTACGTTTCTAGGGATTTTATGAAATTCATAACAAAATCATGACAGCACTTTTTAGGAAAAGTGACAGAATTTTAAATGATAAAATTATCAAAAAAAAATAATGTCAAATAAAAATATTAGATATTAACTTAAATGATTTACAGTATATGGTTTTATAATAAAAAATATTCAGAAAATATTCGCAAAATATTCGTATTGAAATTTTAATTGAAAAGGCAAAAGATGAAATAATTTATTATTTAAATTTATTATTTATCATGAAAACTTATTGATACAATTAATATGAAACATATTTTAATATCAAGTTGAATAAAATTGAAATATTTATCCTTATTAATCGAATTTCACTATAAAGACAGCTGAACGTTTTCTTCAGCTGTCTTACTACAGAAGGACTTCGAAAATAAGCCAATGAAATAACATGAAAAATGTGAAAATAACAGAATAAAAATAAATGAAATTTCATTTTTTATGTGGGTAATAAGGTTAAGGTGGAAATTTGTAGCGAAGCGTAGCGATAACAAAACCGAAGTAAAAGTGAAATAATGAAAAATGCAAATTAGTAGAGCGACTGTTGAATAATTTAACAGCTCCCTCTACCCTACTTTCACGTGGAAAACAGCACGGCAACAAGCCTCAACACCTGCATGACTGACAAGCCACGCCATATCGATAAATTGCCAGTTTACACGTTGATGCATTCGCCTAGCATTTTCCACTTCAGCCTCAACGGAACGGGCTGACGATGGATTCATCTCTTTAGCCATCACAAATAGTTTTGCTGTCTTTTGCAGCGCTTAATTTGTATTTAGTTTGTATCCAAGTATTCCACTGAATTATTGTATTTTTATTTCTGTAATTTGAATAAGTAGAAATCCACTTAACGATCCAATAAAAATTCTTGTATTAATCGGGTATGCGCTAAGCTGAACTTTATTACCAGTACAAATTGAAAAATGAAACAATTTTATTTATAATTCAATTTTTCGAATTTATGCATAAATAAATTATTTCAGTACTATACGGTATGGCTAGAAGAAGCTCTAAAATGTAAATAAATGGAACTGAAACCTGAGAACCAACTCCGATATGTGAACAAATCATGTGCATAGAAGAACTCGAGGTAAGAAAAGGCCTGTTAACTAATAACGAAGACAATAAAGTCGGTAGAATTTTATGTCCTAGATTAGACAGAAATATAACGAAAAGCCTTTTAGAGTTTAACAAACCTACTTATAACTCGTGTTCGCTTGAACTTTACAGCTTATGGGTAATAAGACCAAGCGACTAATCTGTAGTTCCTATACTTAGAACTGTAAATCTATAAGACTGTATAGCTTAAATTAAGCAGTAAGTTTGATTTTTACCGGGCTTATATCGTTTATTAACACATAGAAATTTATTTTTTTGCTTATGTATACTGAAGATGGTAGACCGAAATATATGTATAGATAAAAACAATAGAAATCAATAAGTGGCTCGACTTCTCTAGAACCTTATGACCTAGATTACCTTAAAATAAAACGAAAAATCTTTTAAACCACTGCAAAACTGAAGTTTATGAACTGAAAAAAAAATCAAAATCATTTGGACTTTATGGCTTTATGAATAATATGAAATAAGTAAATAGAATGTATATGGAAAAATCTTTTGTGTTCATATACTTATAACTGATAGTTGACAGGACTTTATAATTGAGATTAGATAAAAATAAAAAAATATGCGTTTCAATTAACCTACACTTTATGTACTCACTGAAATACTTACGGCACTTTGCTTTTCTACCAATGCTTTAACGATGGTATATTCCTATAAGTAAAGGATTTACCACCATAAAAAGGAGGTAAACATCTTCAATAATTTTCTATGTTTTCTCCAGCACATTATCATGTCATTTATCCCCTTGCAAAATTCTATAATAATTTTTTTATATTTATTAAACTTCAGACTGAACTTTATGAAAACCCTTGTAAATATTTGGCTTCTAATTTCAAAACATCATTTGCATTACTCATTAAGGGCCATTAATATATACAATATATTTTATACACAAAATAAATAATATGAAATTGATAAAGTAAAAAAAGTTTTATCAATTTAAGACTTAGAAAATGTATAGGCCTATAGAATTCCAGGTTTCTTCACTTTTCTGGCAAGGCTAGTAAAAGAAACTTTCTATAGATTATTTTGTGAGTGTTAAAAGTATAGCATTTACGATTTAAGCCACAAAGTCCCATGGCATAAAGACAACAAAAGCGTTGACTTTCTTTCCACATGAAAGGAACAACGTAAATTAATTAAATCTGAGCCATTTTGTATTCCGGCGAGGTGGCATATAGTGGATAAAATCAGATACTTTACAGATGCTTAAGTCAAAAACTCTTGGATGAACTCTAAATGTCAAAATTATTCTAAGATATTCATTAACCAATCCAAGAAACTCTCATGAACTTCTAACATTGAACTAAACGTATAACAAAATACTCACAAAACACTGTTTTAATAGAATGGACAACTTTTAAAAAATAGCTGTTAAAATGTTTGAAACATTTTTTGCGATTGCCTCACAGTGAGCAACAATAAAAATGCCCATTAAGAAAACAGACTTATAATACTTGTACGTTATTTGAAATTATAATTCTCATTGTCTTTATCCCTTATAATATGTAAAAGAACACAAAACTGTTTAAAATACTTATATTCAATAAAAATTTAATAATCAATTAAAATAAGTGAGAAGCGCCTTAATAGGTTGGAAAACAGGAAGCTAAAGGTCCTAATTAAATTCTAGATCTCTAGGTATTAAGCGTCCTAAACACATGTCTCCCACTTAAATACTATAATGAAATTCTCCATTGTGATGGAAATCTTTCACATTCATTTTTGAGTTTAGTGGATTGAAGTCTCACATTCTGCTTTTCACCTGCTGAAAATGAGTAAGAATACCACAATTCTCCACTTAAATTTTTGTTTATATTAATCTTCATTTAATTAGTAATTTTATTCAAGAAATAAGTTGTCACCTGTAGCTATAACTAAACTTAATATCTTTAATTCCTATTTCGATTTCTGCTAAATTTTTAATTAAATTTCATTGCATTTTTCTAAGTGAAATGCAAACTATCTTCATCCACTTTAACTATTCACACAAAAATCCTATTGAAATGGCACTTAAAGTACTCAGCAGGAATCATGCTCTATTGAAATCAGTAAATAGGGCATTATTCTTGGTAATACCTGCGTTTTGAATGCAGCATTGATATAATAATTATTTTTGAACTGGCTTAAGTTCGGATTAAGAGTGACACTAACTACGACCATAAAAAAGGAGTGTGTAAATAAAACCTTTGACCTTTTTTTTAGAACAAATATAAATAAAAGTATCATTAAGTGTTTAAAAAAAAAAGCATATAAGCAAAAATAGCATTAAGTATAGGATATAAATTTTGATGTGCCAATGACTCAAATATCTAGTTCAATATCAGAAATATTTATTTAAATCCACTAAACTGTAGATAACAGCATTACTATTGTTATTTTGCGTAGTATTGAACAAAAATAAAAAATATATATAACTGTATTACTTCCAGTTGATACTTAAAGTATTATTAACATGGCATGTACGCTGTGTTATTTTTAGATTTAGAATTAAATTAAGAAATTATGCACAGCGACTAAAATAGCTTTTGTATCTTCTTCACGGATTCAGAAGGTTTCTTTAAATCCGATGTTCTCGATATATTGTAGTATTGAATCTATTTTAGTAATTCTTATTTCGTATATGATATAATATATCAAACTGGATATTACTTCTGTTCATGTGTCAAAGTATGGACCTCAAGTTCTTAGTAAGACAACTTTTTTTTCAATTGGAGTTAGTTGATTCATTGAAAATTTGGTAAAACTATTTAATGACATTTTACAGCTAAACTATTTTTACTTCATCACAGTTGGCAGCATTAATGCTTAAATTAATATATTTTAAATAGATTTTTGACACCTCATTCTTTTCCATACAAAAGTTGCAAGTTCCATTGACAGTAACAGTGCCCTGTCAAAGATCTAGTAAGATGACTTAAAATAAAAATACCATTTACAGTAATAATGCCCTGCCAAAGATCCAGTACGATAATTTAAAATAAAAATTTGGATTTAAAAGCTTATTTGTTAACCTACTACCACCAAAACTCACTATAATATATTTATTTATGAATGAATGAATGAGTTTTTAGCAATAGGCTTTTATTCACAGTCATATAGGCTTGTGAAGGTCTATATAGATGTGCTACACTGCCTATAAAATGTGGAGAACTCATTTTGAAATGTCATATTGCTTTAGAATATCTTTCCAGCTAATATAAAAAATTGTATGCTTAAAAATTTTTCATTTTAACTTAACAAATCATGTATTCTTAACGGATACTTAAAGCGTTTCACACTCGTGGAATAACAAAACAAAGTCCTTGCTAAATTGTTTATCCTTTAAGCAATTTTTACAAAGCAAAGGTGAATGAATGTAAATTTTTGCACGAATAAAAACAATATTTTAACACAAAAGAGCAGTAAAAGAATGAAATACAATATAGAAAAAAACAACCTATAGTACCTTTAGATGCTTACTACAATAAAAATGATTGCACCTAGGTGTGGTTTAGTACGTCCTTGTATTGTTGACTTGGCAAAAATTATATTTTTAGATATTTGTCAGCATTAAGCAAAACATTGTAGCTTTGCTTGACAATAAATACAAGCTAAATATACAAAATAAATGAGTATATAGTAAATGGACTATATACTTAAGCTCAGGAACAACCATTTGTAAATATTTTATCTATTCCATTATTTTGAATATTTTGCTGACAAGTTAATCATAACATGACGTGCAAAATTTGTCCTTAAACTGTTCTTTCACCTTAGTTTATGCTACTATGCAGCGCTACACTTATGAAAAATAAACTAACAACGCAATTAATGGCTCATTAAGTGTGAACTCGTAGTAAAAATTTGATTACGAACAATTTTACTTAATAAGCAAAAAAAAAAAAATGAAAATGAAAAAAATAGGTGTCATTTTGTACACTAATAATCCGCCCACAAATCCTTACCAAACTCATTACTGTCACGACACAAAGGAAACTCAAGTACATGTATTTCGTCTTCATACTCGCATTTATTATTAAAATACGCTTTAATAAGCACAAGAAATGATGAGTTTTTATTTATATAGAAATATTAATAAAATTCTCTAATGAAAAATATGTCACATTTGTGTAATTTACGTGCCTGGGACTACATTTCTTTTGAATTACACGCACGGGCAGGATTTTTATTCAAATCAAACGCTTTACGCTTTAATGTAAGATAAGATACTCTCATTTCAAACCAAAAAATGTATAAAAATGCATGAGGGAATTCAAAACTTTCACAAAAGCAAGAAAACGCTTTGGTCAGTAAGAAAACCCGTAATATAATAAAATTGGAATTTAAGAGATAAACGAAATCTCTACTGACTTTAGTAGGGTTTGGTAAATCCGAAACATGATAATTTGTAAACTTACATTTCTTTGATGTGTTGGATTTAAAGTTAATCAAATTAATTTTTTTCTTATCTTTATTATTTTATTTCTTTGAAATTTCTAAACTTCTTTTTTAAATGTTTAATAGATATTTTTAAAACCACAAGTCGTAAATCCCCAGTGTCAGAATAATATGGCAATTTTAATATAATTTCCTAAACGTGAAACTTTGAATCAAT